AATTTTTTTTCCATCAAACTGTTCCAACAGCTTAACGTCCTTTTAATGAGATACCAAAGATTTGGCTGTATGAAGCAGAGTACCGCTATGCTCCCCCCTCCCTCACCTGTTTCTGCTCGGTGTCAGCTACTCCTACACGTTTCACTTCCTCACAAGTAAAAGATAAAGTCATCACCGTTTTACGAGTACAGTTAGCAAATTAGCAAGTAGCGTGTCTGTTAAGCAGCCTTCTGCAGGCTGGCTACCTGAGCAAACATTCCGACTGATTCACCATTTAATGCCCGCATGTTAGACGTCCACCGCTGGTTTACACAGACCAGAACAGGAGGACACACAAATGTTAGGAGCGGTGGGGTGTGGTCCCACATTATCTGTTTTTAAACATCCTGTGCGTCTATAAAAAGAAGGTAAAATTGATGACCTGCTGTTTTAGCAGACACAGGCTAATTTCCAAACTTTTTTTTTTTTTTTTTTTTGCATGAAGCAGAAATATTCACAGGTCCTTCCCCCCCACGAGTTCAAATCAAGTCTCTATTGAGTGAAAATATTTATAATATTTATGATGTCTAGCCCGTGCCATTGTTTCTTAGGCCTAATTTCACTTTGACTATAAAAGAATTTATGACCATAATTATGTAACTCAAGCGAAATCCTGTCTGTGCAGATAAAATAGCAACACAACTGCTGCTCCTTGTAATTCGACAAGAAATCAACAGCAATAAACAGTTTTTAATAAGCGATTTAAATCATTTGAAGATTGATTGTGTGCAATATTTGCCTCAGCAGTGAAATAAATATAGATTTATGCTAAAAGAAAAAGAACAAAATTAACATCTCTAAATAAACTAAGGTGCTTTTTATTTTTATTTTTTAAAGATTTTCTTAATACCTGTGTTTAAGTTATGCACTCCTAACCTTTACATATTACTGGCTTTGGAGGGTTTTAAAACCATTGTCAAGTCTAAACAGCACATATGTCCGAAGGTACGCTGGATGTTTAACTCTGAAATAATAAAATGTAAAAGGCAAGATGAGGGCATTTCCTTCTGAAATGGCTCAAAAGTCATTTAATAAAGTGCTTAGTTGAAGAAACATTTGTTTGGACCTCTTTCGGATGCGACACCAAACACAAACTGACCGTCATAAACCAGTAAACCATGATGAGGGACTAATAAATCATGCACATCTTTTCACAGAAAAATCAAAATGCATTTGCATCAAAGTTGTTACATGTAGCTTACAGCAGATCTCAGTTTGCACTCGCTACTGAATAAATTAAATAAACGCTGTTAACGAGATTTAATTCCCCAAACAAAAAGTCCAAGTCGACTTGTGATTCTTCAGAGAGTGAATCTAGGTCAACTCTTCCAGTGGTCTCAGACTGCAGTCCTCAAGGGCCGGTCTCCTGCAACTTTTAGATGTCTCTGCTTCAGCACACCTGGCTCCAATATAAGCTCATTAGCTGAGCTCTGCAGAGCCTGACTGCATACTGGTGAGGCAGTTTCAAAGTTTTATCCAAGCGTGTAGGACAAGGGACACTTCCAGAAGTTGCTGGACTTTGGCCCTGAAGGACAGCAGTTTGAGACCACCGCTTTATATCAAAGCCTAAGTCAAGTCTTGAATCATTAGCATGCAAGTTCAACTCTCACTAAGCCCAGTCTAGGTCAAGTGTACCACGAGTCAGGTCTTGAGTTGGAGAGCGAGTCTTGGTCTGTGGTAGTCTCTCTCATGATGTTAGCAATGACACTCGGCGGTGGATGACCCTGAGGTTGGACTCAAGCAAACCCAGATATTTCAGTACTTTCTTGTAGAAATTCCCTGCAGCGGCTGAAATGTTGCCTGGCGTTTTCAGTGACTAAATCACAGGTGCAGCCTGTTTGACGTGCCCTGTACTACACCTGAAGTGAGTGTGAAAAACGGAGACAATCTGCTAATGGAGCTCATTCTGACCAGCGCAGACTGGTGCAGAACCAGTTAAAGTCGAAGAAGTGGTTTTTGTCAAGTCTTTAGTCCCAACTCAACAGTCTCAGTCAGGTCTTGAGTCATTAGACTGCAAGTCTAAGTCAAGTCTAGATTCCCTATGGGCTCAAAACATGGATTGCAGCAGCAGCAAAGGAAAACAGTTCCAGATATTCAGGATACGAAAAGCAACCAGCAACAAAAGTTTCTTGTGTTGCTTCAGAAGTCTGCGTGTTGAAATTTCACATGTTGAAGGAGGACAAGCATTTGTTGCCTCACTGCTTACGTTCCATAGGAAATAAATGGAGAAGAAGCGATGTCACCCCCCGTGTGTCAAACTCAGTCAAGCCTCGAGTCCCAGACCACAAGTCTAAGTCAAGACCATAAATAAAATGATAAGTAAATAATGTCATGAGTACTTAAAATAGAGCACCCATCAACATATAGCTCGGCTGCCTATCTTTCAATCATTCGACCTGTTGCTCAACAGCAGCAGCACTTAAAATGACGGCTTTTTCTGATTTCTGTTTAAAATAAATCCACAGAGCAGGCTGAACCTTTTTCTTTTAAATCTCTGGGTTGCTACTTCAAATATGGTATTTTTACTCAAGGTCGTCGTACCATGGGAATCTCACACCAGCCCATGCCTACTTTTAATCACGATTCTACTGTATTTCCATCATCCTGGCATCATGCTTGGGCACTTCTAACAATGTCGTGACCCTGCTGAAAATATTCACAACTGCTCCCATAAATTACATTTTTACTCTCACTCCAAACGCAAACAGCAGTAATTACAAGCAAATGTAAAAGGATTTAATGCATAAGGTGATAAAAAATGTGACTTTTTTTTTACTCTTTTCCCACAGATTTTTTTCTTAATTTGCACTTTAAGAACGAATGCTCGAATGTGTTTTTTTTCCCTTGAAGAAGCAAATCCTATGCATTTATGTGTAGTCTTTCAAGTCTTTGTTCATTTTAATGGCATAGCTTAAGCTAAAAGCTCAGATTTCCTTCTTCCTCACCTCAGACAGAGTGAGGTCTGGTGTTAGCTGAGTGCTGCCATAAGCTGGCTGGAAATGTTTATTTTTAATAATAATTCTACAACAGTGGGGCCTATAATACTCTTGTATAATTATAACTAAGTGGTTTGGCCTGGAGGTGATCCACAACATGCTACCGGGAAGTTATTACAGACTGAGCAAAAATATACCATAAAGATATTTGGCCAGCAAAGAAAGTGGATCTACTGTTGTCGGGGACTCTTCCAAACATGGCAGCATTTTGCTGCATAAACTCAAAGTCAGCGCAGTTTTCTAGCTTATCCGAGGGGCATGACGTAATACAGCAGTCGTCTCACTGTTACACTTCTCTGGAAATTCACTTGGACCAACTTCCCCAGTAGCCGATTCAGAAAAACATGTGCTAGCAAAGATGTTAAATATTATAATGATAATGTGCGCTGAGTGATGGCGGGGGGTTGGGGGCTGACTGCAGCGGCGAAGCTGTTGTTGATGAACCCCGGCCAAGTGAAGATTGCCAACTGTCACTAACCGCCCTTTCACCGCGTGCCTGCTCACACCTCGCAGCAGATCAACTTTATATCCGCAGTAAAGCTGTCGACTCGCCGTAAACAGAGCAAGTGGCAAACACTTTCTCTTACACCTGCACTGTCTCACAGGGCTGTCACGAGGAAAGCAGACCCGGATGGAGCACAGCAGGATCTCTGTCGTTAGTTAGTCTACTCTCATCTGGCACAAACTGTAGTGAACAGGGTCGTGTTTGATAGAGACAAACACGCAGTTGATGAGCTAGAAGAATGATCAAGTTTTTAATCTGACACATCGCTACTTTGTAATTAAAAGGCATGCGTGTGGTTTTGGATATAATCCCTTAATTACAGACCCAGCATATCTCTTAATCCGTCTCCCATTTTCTCGCAAGGCAAACTTTTTCACATATGAAAATCTAAAATATTTGCCCAATTTATTCTAAAACCTCTATATAAAATTCCAACAATTGCTTTCAGCTCGATAGCGTAGTTGTGTGTGATTTAATCTCAAAGATATGACCAATCAGCTAAGGCCAGTCAAGCAGAGGCGCAAATGTGCGCCTCTGCTTGACTGGGCGCACATGTAAGAGAATCTGGCAACAAATCAGGTATTAGTCATGCGCTTTATAAATGTGGCTTTCTTGGAATAATGGCAAGAAGAACGCCGTTGTTGAAAGTAAACCAGAAGAGACGGAGATGCTGAGGCCAAATTTGTCCAACACTGAATTTTTCTGGTCAACACAAAAACTGTTATCTGTTAAAGAAAACAAACACATCATCCTGACAGCACTCTCTTTATTATAAAGTGTGGTGGTTGCAGTTCAGTCATTTGATGATGATTTTTTTTCTTTTGCATGGACATGAGAGGTGGTGTGAAAGAAAACCTGCCATTAGCTAAAAAAAGAAAAACATTTGAGACTGTGGTAGGGGTTCATCTTCTACCAGAATAACTAAACACACTGCTACAGCTGCAATGGAAAGGTTAAGTTCAGGGGAGCTCAAGTTCAGTCCTTAAGAGCTGCTATCCTGTGCAGGTTGTACATGCATCCCTTCTCCACCACACCTGAATCAAATGGCTGAATTCCCTCACTGGTATGTCACTCAGCTCTGCAGCAGCCTGGTAATGAGCCATTCATTTGATCCGGGTGTGTTGGAGAAGAGATGCATTTACAAGTTTCAGGATAGTTTCAGGATGGGACTTTGGGATAAATCATGTGCATGTGTTATAAAGGTCAAAATCCAACTGTAAATTGGTGGAAAGACATGTAAATGTATGTTCATTTGATTGAGGTAGAACTATTTTGCTAGTTTCTAGATGTGCTGTTTGCAAAGTCATCCCACCCCGAAAAAAAGCTCACAGCTGTGATTGATGGTCCGGACACTGTTTTTCAAGGTGCTGTATAAGCATTTAATAATAGAAATTTCAATTAAAAAAATCCTTTTATTTCTGTGGATCTGTATTTGTCAAAACAGGTTGGGAATTACATACCCTTCCTTGCGGAAAATCGTGCCGAAGCAGTCTCGTAGACTCTTGTAGCTGGTGGGGTCGCTTGATCCTCCCTGGATTTGAAACCTGCAAGGACAAAAAGATTTTTACTCAAGTTTTAGCCGTCACTGGGGATTTTACTGTAGCTACGACTTTTTGTTGTCTTTTTTTTTTTTTTTTCCCCTGGAAGCACTTTCACACATGCGTCAAACACACTGAACAAATTTGATGTTATCATTAATGAGCTCATTTCCCACTTTATTTTCCTCCCCTCTCCTTCATTTGCTTTACGCCCTCCACCCCCAGTCTCCACCCGCTCCTGCAAAGATGAGAGGCTCGCAACCCTAGGTCGTGTTAGTACGGGGGAACGCTCAAACATTTATTTAACCCAACTGATCCAATTAGTAACCCTACACCCCAACACTGAGTTTTCGCAGCAAGCTTACCAACTGCTAACATGCCAGTAAGCCTGTTATAACAACTCTTTAGTTACATGTAAACTTTTACTGTGATGGGGATGGTTGGGGGTGTTTTTGTTGCATGGCAAATAAGCAGGTAATTGCCTAATAAAAGTATGATATGATCTGTGTAAACATTTTAAATATGAGAGAATATTATTTAAGCTCAGAAATCATGCTCTCTGCATAGTTGCTAAAAGAAATTTGTACCATTTCATCAGATCGTACAAATGTGACCAAATAAATCGGTTCAATAAAGTGGTCTGATGAAAAGCAAGAAAATAAAAATGGTTCTGAACAGCAGAACATATGGCAAAGCAAGAATTGGGAATGATTTACCAATAATAATAATAATAATAAAAAAGACATCAAGTCTGTGAGGACAGAAAGACGTGTCAGATGCAACGGGACAAGAGAAAGATTCCCTCCTCATATGGCGTCAACTGCCTGGTCACAAGGTCAGCAGTAAGTCCTCCATGTGGGTGCCTGATGGGGCCATAAAGAGCTCCGGGTTTCAGCCGATGGGGGAGTTTAGCGGGGTGAGCGGCGGCCTTTCATATCGCTAACAGATTGACATCTTGGAGGGGTGTCCCTAATATCCTATTTGATGGAATCCCCATAGCTTGTAACCGGTTTCTGAAAACCAGTAAAAACGGCGTAATAAACAGATGTCTGACACCGTATTAAAAGTGAAGAAAAGAAGAGGGACTCAAGGTATGAGGGGTTGGGGAAATAAGCGGGATGGGAGAGGGAGTAAAGCGCCAGATGATTTAAGACCACTGGGGCTTGTAAACAAGTCAAATCTGACTTAATTAAAGTCAAACTATCGCAGGTCGAGTCTGGAGGACACCCTATCCCCAGTCCCCTGGTTTCCTTGCTCATCACACTTCGACCCGAACCAACCCTAAAAAAGTGAGGTTGGCAGAACCTTGGTCCGGTTCCAGCCCCCTGACTCCAGTCGTGACCTTCGGGTCAACTCATTTCCTAATGGCCCTCTTCTACCCTCCTGTAAAAGCCGGGGACCAAACAGGGGGCCCGAGGAGTGGGAGATAATAGGGTGAAGTCGAAGTACTTTTGGCAACAGAGAAACTGTCAAGCCCCCGGCTGGGGAGCTTCTAATGTTACTTTTCACTGCAACAATGTGAATATTTGGTCAGTCCGAGCTGAATTTCCTGTTCTTCCTTGATTTGCAAAGACAAATCAGGGATTTCGCTTCAAATGAGTCAGAAATGTGATGTAACAAGATATGTTGTTTCTGTACAGAACAGCGAACCTCAGTATGGCTTTGGGGTTATAGACCGTAAACTCTGAATAAGAAAAACCTTGGGGCCTTTTCCTGACGCACAGCGTGCAGCATCCTTTTCAACTGTCACTGAAGGTAGATGTGCAGTGTACTCTGAAGTGATGAGATGTGCAAGTCTATCAAAATGATCTCCCAGGACCTCTTCACCCACATTCTGCCTTCCCTGTATTTCAGCTTTACGGGCCCAGAGGTGCCCAGGTAAGGGTGAAGGCGAGGGCAGGTTGGCGGTTCCATGAACAAGACAAGCACTCTGACCTTTAGTGCCCGTAAAAGTACAAAAGGTATGCATTCACAAGAAGTCAAAAAGGTAAATTAGGGCAAAAAGGCACGCCAGAGCCCCAGTCTATGTATTTTTTTATGAACAGCAACAAAGTGTTTGAGGAACTTCAGTGGTCTGCTCCCAGACTCTGGGAAGAAACTGAAAAGATGAGGTGGAGCTCGATAATGATTCATGAATTTGAACTGGCTAATGGGGCAGCAAAGAGATTTATGCACACGAAAAAGCAGAGGCTGGATGTTCTCATCTTTAGAAGTTCATACCGCTTTTTACCAGATCATTTGGCATTATTAAATTAAGTGCAACAAGATACTGTAGCATGAGATACGACGTTTCTCATCAAATTGAAATCTGTCTCACAATGCACCATCTACTTGCCATCACTGTGTGTCTTTTTACAGCAAAATAAAGTTAATACTCCAATGTGAATCCAAGTGCTTTACATTTGGCACCCCGTGTCATTGCTAAAGACTCTTTTTTTGAGGAAAATAAGTAGTTCTTCATTCCAGTGACACTTCTAGCATGAATAGTATGGGGAAAAAAATCCTTGCACACTATATTAGATTTTCAACAGATTTTTGACAAAGGCTCCTTTTGTTTTTGATGTTTATTTTGTTTTACCAATTCACAAACTAAAATGTTAAAAAACCATCTCAGTTTAATTAGTTAATTAGTTTATGTATTTCTAGCCTGAGGTTTTAATTGTTGACATAAACATCCAGCTCAGTTCTGTCTTATTCAAATGTTTAATTTAGAGCCGATCAATTGTAGTTCAGGCTTCAGAGTAAAAACAACATCTAATTTAAGCACAGATTATAAATGTGGAATCGCGTTACTGCATCTCAATTTTACTACCATATTTTCTTTAAATTCATCATAAAATGGACATTTCACAAAAAGCAAAAACAAAATCCAGTTGAGTCCTAGTGACAACCTTTTAGTCCCTGCTTGTGCCACCGTCTGACAGCAGTGACCCATACGGTATAAATCAAAAACCGCCTCTTCTCGAATTGCTACCATTTTGTATTAAAGTAGGTGAATAATGCCTAAATGCTCTTTTTATCATAGGAACTTTGCAAACTACCGTAGTCCGCTCTGTAGCCATTCAGTTTGCTTAAAAGTTCACAATAAATAAATAACATTTTAACCTTTTATTATATTTTTAAAAAAAGGGATTTCTAAAGTTAATAAAGGGTTAGTAAAGGGTTTACTTGGTTAAGTGGAATAAAATAAACACGTTTGTCGTTTGTGTTTTTAAAATAAGTCTAAAATGATGATCCACTGATACTTTTGAAGAGCTACCAAAGCTTCATGAGACCAGATCAAGTTGGATTTCATCTACATTGTTTTCTTTGCCTCTCTGAATCTGGCATTGCCTGGGTTTTTGGAGAACTCGCTGTGACTACGGAAAGGGAAGGATAATTTACTCTAGTTGTTCAAAAGACAACAACATCCTCATGGCTTTTTGGACTCTTTCTCACACCGATAAAATTGATTTCTCCCATTTCCTATATGACCATGTTGGGACCAGTTTGTTCCTCCAGATGTTTGCTTATATACTATGACCCCAGTGACTTGCGATCAGACTGTGTTATTGGAGACAAGCAGGAAAGGACCTGCATAAAACAGTGCAGGGAGGCATAGATGGTTTAGACATTAAAAGTTGTTGACTGACAGACAACTCTACAATATGTTGGAGCTGATTTCTGCAAATGTTCAAAGTAGGTGCCAGGTAAGTGGATGAGCGAGTGATTTTAGCCACATGTTCAACTTGTTGGCATAAAAGGACATCTGGAACAATAAATTCACAGATTTCACCTCTACTTAATTCCATCAGACAGAATTTGGTCACAATGACCAAAAACGTTCGTTTCACTTAAAGTGAAAGAAACGCAGTAAAAGTGACATTAAATGCTTTCCTTATCCAAACTCACTAACTTTCTATTAGGGAAAAAGAGCAATTAATGAGATAACTTTTGATGTAATCAGGACAAGTGGGTAGCAGCGATAAGATTAGGTTAATTGCTGCTGCTGATGGTAAAGAACGACACAGTCGCTGCCACTTTGATGTGAGGAAATGCTGCAGGACTCTGGGGGCTCAAGTGACACCAGGCTGCCACTGTGCAGAACAAAAAGAAGGCAACTAGCATGCATGTTTCCATTAAACAGGAATTACGAAGGCTTTTAAATGCAGGTTTGTTGATGTGAAGGATAATATCACTTTACAAATTATATTTTTTGTTGTTCAATAACTTTTCAGATACCATGTTTGAAGATTAGTTTTTTTATAGCTTAGTTTCGTCTTTGTTATTTGGTGTAGATTTTATTTTGCTATAAATAGCAAAATAAACTTTTAAATTAGGGTAATGTATTTCTTCTGTATCGCCTCTATATTGCATGGTTCCCCAAGGAACCATTGTAGGCCCACTGCTTTTTTAATGTTTAAATGTTGCCTAGAGAGAATAATAAAGTTTCTTCTTCTTCTTCTTTTTTTTTTTTTTACCAGATCTAAAAAGTATGAACACCTAACTCCAGTCTTGTCATCTAGTCATCTAGTCCTTGGCTCTATTTCTTCTTCAAACACCAGCGAAACCAGATTGCTTAACATGCAAGGTTTAATTGGCTGTGCTTCAATCCAAACATAAAGGCAATAATAAAATATGTGGAACAGCAGCTAGCATGCGAGTGCTGCACAGACTTTAAGTCGCTGCCTACAATTATTTTTCCTTGGTTTTCAAGGGGAAAACAAGTGTTTCAATTCTTTTAATTTGTTCTGCCATTTTGTTGTTGTTCTTGTGAGGTCTTACTGTGATATACTTTCATATTTCCATTGGAAGCTTTTAACATGGAGAAATTCTCCATGTGTGACCATGGGGAATTTCTCCTGGCAAGTGTGTTTTGTTTAGGTTGTGTTTAACCAAAGTGTCCTGCAATTACCTCCATCAACTAACACTCTTCCATCAGAGAGGTATTTTCACTACATGATTCTGATACCGCCACCACCGTGTTACAACATGGAGGTGCGCTCATGGTGGTGTGCAAAGTCTAG